TTCATCTGTACGGTCTGCACTGTTACGCACTGGTAGTATCTATGCCAACAGCAGCTTATTCGGCGCACGGAGTTCCCACTCAATACTGTAGCTGAAATTTGTGGAAATATACGCTATAAACGCTGATGGTACAAATATCATGGTTTTGCGTGTGTCCACGTGGGCGAGTGTACGTGTCATCTACGGTGACGCGTATGCGGATAGGAGCGACCAACTTGCAGCGGTACACAGCTGATTCCATGTTCTCATATTTTATGAAGCGCGCTACGCTTTGTAGGTGCGTCAGCACTATAGTCAGCTTACCGCTCCAAACCTCGCACCGTCAGCTAGTATACTAAAACAAAATAGGTAGGAGCATGGGGGCCTAAAAGGGTATATTTACCAATTACTTACTCTGCTGCTGCTTCTTTTCCTCGATGTACTTGGCGTTTCGGGCGGTCAGCTTGCAAGGGCGGCTGCGCCTCTTTTTTATCTTGGGGTACCGGTCAGGGCCCATCGCCTTCTTGACGTTCGCCAGGCTTTCCTGGTGGTGCACTTCGGCCGAATCAGGTGGTGGGGGGGTCCTCCCAGAACTCAGCCGTTTTTGGGCCGTTCTCGCAGGCAATACAGCGCCGCACGATGTCCCGCCCGCTGATTGTACAGAATGCGTAGCCGTACTGCAGCTTCCCGCAACCGACGCAGCGCGCCCGGGCATCCGTCGCAGACCGCTGCGGGTTCAGCAGAAGCGGGTCAATCTTCGCCTCGCATTGCTTGCACGTAGGGCCCACAACTGTGAGTAAGTTAGCAAAATATATTGCTCTAACCAATTACTTGCGTCCAAATATTAGCCAATAGCTTGGAAATATAAGGCTGGTATTTATTATTTAGAAACATATTAAAAAGTTGATACTAACGTTTTGGCTTTGCTATAATATATTATTATCAGATTTCCAAACAAAAACATACTTTACATGCAATTTAAATTGCCTAAGACAATTATCTATCGTGCGCGCATGCATCTGTCGGGTGTGGTGCACGGGAGCAGATACGGCAATGACCGTGCAGCTGCGCGCCTTCATTGCACGGTGGCAGTGGTGAGTTCCAGGTAAAGTACAAAATATATATATATATATTCGCAAAGTCGCTACAAAAAGCGCTGGTCGTGAAGCCTTCTTTAATATTAAAAATACTATCGTCTCTACTTTAGAAAGTTTGTGGAAAATAGCATCGCCGAGCTCTTACAATTGCGACCTGTGATGCTTATATCAATAATATTAGTACTATTAATATCGTCTTTACTTTGAAAAGTGTGTGGAAAATAACATCCCTGAGCTCTTACAAAATACTGGTCTGTGAAGTCTACATTAATAATAATAAATTTCTCTATTTGAAAAGTGCGCAGAGCGCTTAGAAAAAAAGTGGTTACTGTGCCCGATTTCAGTACATACGACAGGTTTTGCGCAATAATCAAGTACGACGCGTCTTCGCCTGGCTGTTTGCAACCAATCGATGCGTTTCGTGCTCGGCAGAAATGTTTACCTTACGTCCAATCGCGAGGGCGAGAGGCGGTCTGATCGTGCGACAGATCCAGTCAGTGTCGCAGGTCGGCAGGTATTGCCCAATCAGGGCGCGATTTAATTGTGTCACGCTTTTGGATATATTTGTAATTTTAGCATAGTTAGGTCGAGTCAGAAAGGTAGGCGCGGTCGGTAGGATAGGAGGAAACTGTATAAGACAGGCCGAGTGTAGCCATGCGAAAAGGCAGGAAAAAGCAGCAAGACGGGGAATGCGACGGACTGACGGACGGACAGACCGACAGGTTACAAGGTTAGAAGCGGGGAGACTAGCGCTCTGGGCGCCCGCTCCGCGGACGCTAGGGCATGGTTGGTTGGTGTAGAGAGGGGCGACCACCTCCGCTGCGCTGCGGTGGGCTTAGAATTTCTACTTGGACCACAGCTACATATAATATAAGTATGCTGTGATCTACTTATGCTACGTTCCAAAACAACACCGCACACAGTATCTATAGTGCTCACATGTTATGGTAGACATGACCAGGGTTTATCGTGATCTGCAAGATGAGCACCATCTTAGCCGGGAGGGTTTTGTCTATAATCTCATTTGAGCGCATAGCTCCCAAAATGTCACGAATCGGAGGCGCGCGTGGTTGCAACGCTAGTATATGCTGTACGGAAGACGGGTCAGTATCAATGATGCTACGAAACATGCGTAGATCGGTGAGGAATCCCAGTGTAGCTGGCGTAAAAACGCCTACTCAATCATATTTCCATCTGCACGTCATCGCCGTGAGGCAGTCGACATACATCATCGATTGCGACGGTCTAATAGAGCAATGTTAATCAGCTCCTCGCGCGAAGTATCTTTTAGGATAGGTAGTTTTTGCCGATGGTCGCCACAAACATCAATATTATGCTTTGAAATTATTCTGCTGAGCTGTTTGTGATGTTACTGAAGGGTATTTCCACTATCTTCCGCATGAATTTATCTTACTTGCATAGCTGACGGACTTTCTGACTTATTGGCATAGCTACTGACTGACAAAGTGGCGTAAATCCTTTCCGACTGACATTATACTGGGTCCGATATATACGACAAACATACGAAGATATATGGCTGTAGGCAGAGTATCAGATCGTAGTGATGCTTAGACTTGATTCGAATCGTCGCTCATGTACATTATATGAAGTACTTTTCCTGCCTACTTATCAACTCGGCGTGCTATTTGATGTGTCCGTGCATATATCGCAAGGTCGTTAATGAGTGTATTTGCCACGCGCTCGTGATAGTTCAACCTATGCATGGGGTCACTGTTTCTTTATCGGTACTTTTGCATCGTGGTGCTAGCTTTCTGCGCCTACGCTTCTGATGGATCACCCAAGCGCGCCACTAACTGGACGTAGGTCATAACCGCGGTGATACAGGCAAGCTGACCGCGCGTATGTAGGTAGTAGTCGACGCGAAATATGCGCGCGGCGGGTACATCTTATAATCATTCGCGACTCAACCGGACTCTCGCCTCGACTATTATACACAAGAAACTAAAATACAGTACTGCGTACAGGCACATCGACTTGCGACGACACCTGTACGGTCAACACTACCATAGACGTGCTTGTGTCTATGTCGACAGCAACTTATTGGTCGGTGCATAGTGCTCACTCTATACTGAAGCTTACATTTGTGAGCGCACATTAATGAAATATACGCTGTGAGCGTTGGTGGTACAGATAGCATGGTTTTGCGTGTGGCCCACGTGAGCGAGGTGTACGTGCCATCTACGGTGACCGCGTATGCGGATAGGAACCACCAACTTGCAGCGTGCACAGTTGATTCCATGTCTTATTATATTTTGAAGCGCGCTACGCTCTATAGGCGCGTCAACACGCTTGGTAGCGCCACAGTCAGCTTACAGTATGTGCGACCCCAAGCCTTGCACCGTCAGCCAGTATACAAAACTATGCGGGGTAGGGGCTATAAGGATGTATTTTCAAATCACCTGCTCTTCTGCTGCTTCTTTTGCTCAATGTACCTGACATTTCGGGCGGTCAGCTTGCGAGGGCGGCTGTGTCCATTTTTCTTCTTGATGTACCAGTCAGGGCCCATCACTTTCTCGACGGTTGGCAGGCTTTCCTGGCGGCGCACTTTGGCCGAATCAGGTGGTGGGGGCTTTTCCTCCCAGAACTCAACCGCTTTTGGGCCGTTCTCGCAGGCAATACAGCGCCGCACGATGTCCCGCCCGCTGATTGTACGGAGCGCGTAACCCTGCTGCAGCTTCCCACAGCAGATGCAGCGCGCTCGGGGGTCCGTCGTAGACCGCTGCGGGCTCAGCAGAAGCGGGTCAATCTTCACTCGGCCCACCATTTTGCAAACTGTGAGTAAGTTAGCAACATATATTGTTTTAACCAATTACTTGCGTCCAAATATTAGCCAATAGCACGGTAATGTAAGGCTGGTATTTATTACTAAGCAACATATTAAAAAATTTAAATATTAATATTTTGCTTTAATAGTAATACTATCAGATTTTTAAACAAATACATACTTTACATGAAATAAAAGTGACTAAAAGCCTATGTACTGGCGCGCATGCATTCGTCGAGTGCGGTGCACGGGAGCAGATACCGCAGTGACCGTGCAGCCGCGCGCCTTCATTGCACGGTGGCAGTGGTGAGTGTCAGTGAAGTAAAAAAGATATATATCCCTACAAAAGCCGCTGGTCGTGAAGCCTACTTTAATATTAAAAATACTATCGTTTCTACTTTAGAAAGTGTGTGGAAAATAGCATCGCCGAGCTCTTACAAATGCGGCCTGATAAGCTTATATTAGTAATATTAATACTATTAATAATGTCTTTACTTTGAAAAGTGTGTGGAAAATAACATCCCTGAGCTCTTACAAAATACTGGTCTGTGAAGTCTACATTAATAATGATAAATATCTCTATTTGAGAAGTGTGCAGAGCTCTTAGAAAATAAAGTGGTTAGTGTGCCCGATTTGCAGTATCTGCGCAGCTCGCCTGGCCGTTTGCATCCAATCGATGCGTTTCGTGCTCGGCAGATATGTTTACCTTACGTCCAGTCGCGAGGGCGACAGACGGTCTGATCGTGCGACAGATCCAGTCAGTGTCGCAGGTCGGTCGGTTGTGCCCAATCAGGGCGCGAGTTAATTGTGTCACGCTTTTGGATATATTTGTAATTTTAGCATAGTTAGGTCGAGTCAGAAAGGTAGGCGCGGTCGGTAGGATAGGAGGAAACTGTATAAGACAGGCCGAGTGTAGCCATGCGAAAAGGCAGGAAAAAGCAGCAAGACGGGGAATGCGACGGACTGACGGACGGACAGACCGACAGGTTACAAGGTTAGAAGCGGGGAGATGAACAATCATCCGCGCTTGAGGCTGCATGTAACGACGTGTTGGCTACCATGACCACGCCAATGACTTCGTAGTCAGTAGCAGTTCGTCGGTGCTTGGTTTTGGGCACCCCACTTTCATAAAAGCGTCGAGCGCAACAAGCTGCCCCTGACGACCTTCCATCTTCCGTATCATGGCGACCACCAAGAAAACCGTCCTCGTCACGGGAAGCACACGCAGTATTGGTCTCTCACTTGCTAAATACTACACCAAGGCCAATTGGAACGTCATCGGTACCGCCCGACCCAGCAGTAACACCGACCAGGTATGAAACTAACACGCCCCATTCGCGTTTAACATGTTAGAAACTAATTATTTTTACATGCACAGCTCAACGCTCTATCTCCTTTCAAAGTAGTGACACTTGACACCATCGACGAAGCGTCCATCCTTGAGGCGGCTCGCCAAGTGGACGGTGTACCCATTGACCTTCTCATCAACAACGCAGGCATTTGGATCCCGGACACGTTCGAGTCGGCCACCAAGGAGGCATTCATGCGTCAATTCGAAGTGAACGCTGTCGGTCCATTCCTCACGACACGAGCGCTACTACCGAACTTGGAGCTGGCGGCCAAAAAGCACGGCTTTGCCTATGTCGCGCAGGTGACGTCTCTTCTTGGAAGCATCAGCAGCAACACGGCCGAGATGGACAACTTTTTCAGCAAAGCATTCGGATACGCCCCATCCAAGGCTGCTCTCAACATGGCCACTCGCTCCATGTCTGTCAGTCTACGCCACAAAGACATCGGATTTGTGACGCTGAACCCCGGATATGTGGCCACCGACATGAACGAGCACCAGGGCTACCTGACACCTGAGGAGTCGGCCGAGTCCATGGCCAAGATCGTGGAGAAGTTGACACTGGACGACACGGGCAAGTTCTACAATGCCGACAAACAATATCCAGCCGTTGAGCTGCCTTGGTAAGGAAGTTATGATCTGCCAGAAGCTTCATGCCTGGCATTTGCTAGGAACGCTAACGTTCCTCACTGATCCTAAGTAAAAAAAATCCTCTAAATCGCGCTTTATGTATTGCCGTCCGATCTAAAACGATCGCAAGTGAAATGCACGCATTTTTACTGCGCTGCCAGCTTCTAGTTGACGGCTGAGGCGTAGCGTAGCTATTTTCTTCACATTTTTATCGAACACCTTCGTCAGCGTTTCCTACGAGTGCCCTCGACACCTTACCTGGTATATCTATCAGTTCTAACATCAGAGCGTTTGGTAGGCAGAGTATTTTGCTCAGCAAATATTAATATAATTTGCTTAGCAAAACTACTTTGTTTGTACATAATACTATCATTCATTCAATTCGTAAGATCCAGAGATGCATGAGTGTCACCTTTTACACTGCACACACACTTATCTCCGCAACATTGGATTCGAATGACACGTTTAAGTAAACTCCTGCGAAGGCGAGCCAGAGGGAAGCTAACTATTGCCACGGAGGTTCCTACGTTTTTTTTGCGTGTGATTAAGGTTTTGATTGAAGCTGTAGCTGGGGCTAAGCGATGCGGCTTTGTCAGATGACGTCGTTCCTTGATGCATTAGCATCAACAACTGGATCAGTGTCTGTAGATTAGGCGATAAGCTCACTCTAATCATTTCCGTGGTGCGAGTGGTGCTAAGAGCTGTTATTACACAATACATAGAGATGCAATTCTAAAAATTATAGTAACAACACGAATTTAAAATTAAAAAGTGTCCACCGCCACTTGTATCGAAGAAGTTACGGGAGCCATGTTACTGCGCTGAAGAGGTTCTAAGCCACGAAAATGCGAAGCCGAAATCGGCTCCTAACACATTCACAGTTCGTTAGCGCGGCAAGATCTCTTAGCCATCCGAATATGTCAACGTACCGTTGTGTTCTAGCGAGTTTTGAATGGTATAGCATATCCATAAAAACAGATTTGACTGCACCATGCGCCAACTTCGATCGAGTACGAACACAAGCAGGTACAGCATCGAGATATTGAGCATTCGTTGAATCAGGTATCCGATGACCAGCAACGATCCGAGCTCTATGAATCCAAACGTGACGATGTTTCCGAGATTACTGGCTAACCCCGTGTCGTCAAATGACTGAAGCTATGGATAATAGTGGTGGTTCGGTAAATAGAACATCCCAACTGTGTACATCGCTGATACGGAACATACGGTGATGAGCCTATTCTCAGCCAAAAAGATGGGTAAATAAAGACAACGTACTGTAGATAAACGGCACGATGACTTCCGTGTACTCGACCAGGATGACAAACTCTGTTGTAAACAACACTCTCGCACTGTGCTGAAGGAATCTTTGTCGCTCTTTGGCCGTGAAAATGGTGGCCAGAGACTTTTGAGTAGGAATCAACTCGAGTGCTGGATTTCTCGCTAAATTTTTTGTTGCAGCAACTTGGGAATTTGGTGGGTCAGCAGGGAGCACCTGTCGACTTGTCGATGGCTGCCGGTAGCCAGAGAGCCATCTACGAGGGTGGTGCTTGTACTGAGTCGTCGAACGGCCTGTGCCAAATTGTATCGACGATGAGCGAGACGATCTCTAGCTTGGGGGTCTTCATCGGTTATTTGAATAGCAATCTCGATAAAGCTAGCGTTCTTTAATGGATGCCCCGCGGGAATCTTGCGTCTCAGAAGGTATATCGTCTTCATGAAATGCTGGATGTCTGATAACGACACCCATGCGAGAAGTGCATCTAAAGCAACCATCTGGACAACAGTCATAATCGACTGAGAAGCCTGCATTGAGCTCGACACGTATAGTGCGTTGAAAACGTCCACATTGAAAATCATAATCTGCGGCAGTATGTTCAAGGATTACACGGGTCATTAATGCGATCGCCAAGAAGTCCCGACACCAAAACAGATAGTTTGCTCTTGAACCATTTTCAGGTGGAGCCAATGGCGCGCAGTCGATCAAAGTAAGAACCAAAAGACACGGGAAGGGCGATAATACGCTCACGGTAATCGCCCGGGACGTCGATGTGGCTTGACTGTACTGGTAGAAATGACGGACTCGCTCCACGGGAATAGTGGCCTCGCAGTTCCGCTTGAAGGCTGCTGAGATTTTCCGTACCCTCCGCAAGATGACGCGTGTTTCGTGCCTCATCAGTACGAAGCCTTGTTTCGTGCTGCAAGAAGAAAAACATGAATACCAAACTATTATTGGCAGCTGCTAAAAAAACCAGTGTGTTGCTTGGTAGCAACTTATTAATAATCGTCGGCGAGTCAACGACATTTGCAAACTCTGTCACTGGGTATTGAGCTAAATTTCTTTTAAACCGAAAAACCTCAACCAGGGTCTGAGGTTATTCAATGTCAGGGCAAAATAGCTCTGAGTGCAACTAAAGATAAGGCGCTATGCGAGGCTTGGGTGCAAGTGAGCGATGCGAAGCCAGGCATCCGAGTTAATCAAGACGCCGATTTCTACAACGACGTCAAACGCGTCTTTAATACGCTTCTTCGACAGCAGAATGCGTTCGTCGCAGAGAGACCTTTGACTTCACCTATCGCAAGGTTCTCGACGATTACGTTGACTCTTGTTAAGTTCGTCGCGTGCTGTGACAAAGTAACATCGCACAATCGCTCTTCCACTGGTGTTGCACATCGAGCGATTGGGCTATACGAGTCTGACAGAAAGAATGGTTTGTGCCGTGCTGGGCTTTCTTTAAAGAAATCCGACAAATGGAAGGTTTGGCGCTTTGGGGAACCGGACAAGCAGACTACGCCAAAGAAATGGCCACTTGATGTGAGCACGGAGACGCGTCAGGCTGATTCTGAGTCTTTTTCCGACGTTGCATAATACGATGACGACGACGTAAGCGAAGAATGGGGCGAGGCAGACTCCACGAGTGAGAGCTCTAGACAAAAAAAAGGAGAATACAGATGTACGCTAGAGAGATCCAGGCTAGGGAACGCATGGCCAAGAATGCTGAGATCCGTAACAGAATAGCTCAGGAGCCGGCCGAGGTTAACTTCTTCAACATGTAAGCCCAAAGCGAAGAAGACATTTCTTACGCTCAAACGCAGGATTGTTCTCGCACGATGAAAGATCGAATTAAAAGCTACTCAGAGCTACATGTAGCCATGTTTTTCAGTCTCTGTTAGCCAATGTCGGCGTGGCAGCGTCCAAGGCAGCCGCCTCCTGTCTTAAGCAGCTTCTAAAAAAATAAATGTCGGAAGACAAACCAAAATTTTGCTGCAATTATAGCTAGTGTAGTCTTACTGTGTCAAAGGCACCAAAAAAGGGAACAATAGTTTGTTTCTCACCGCTGTTTCCAATTACATCTCCATCTCCAGTAATGAAACCGGTGCAGGCTCACCCTGAGATCATACAGGAATCTCCACCTGCGCACACGGTGTCTGCTTGGACGCCATAACAACACAGTATTCGTTAGGCGTATCTGCGACCAAAGAGGAAGCCAGAAATGAAGTACTTTAAGCTTTGCAAAAATCATTAAATGTGAGCCGAAGATTTCAACAGGATCACACAAAGTCGCTTGATGAAAACACAACCAATTCTGTTCGTGGCGTTATTTTTTCTTTGTTCTTCGCTACACTCGCTTAGAAATTTCTTAAGCGGCTAAGCGACCATACTTAGTCTACGAATGAGATCAGGGAGGAGGATCGCCGTTAGCTCAACGGTGAAGCTCCACGATCGTCAATCGATAGCTACCACGATGCGGGATCACAACTAAACTTACGTCGCTGTGGTCGTATGAAAACCTCGACTTGTGGTTTCTATGAAAGCTCACAATTGAAAGAGCATGAACCACGATCATCAGGCAGACTTCTCCCCCAGAGATATCGCTACATTTGCAGATAGCCGACTAGCTATGCCAGATACAACCAGCACCACATACCTTGACTTTGCAGGAAAAGGCAACTGGGAGCCACGCGTGCTCATCGATAGCGTAGCGCTCCCTAAAGACGGCATCGAGGTCGGTTCTGTGGCAGTAAACTACACCATCCAAGTGCGACTATCTAGCGGCCTCCAATGGGGAATCAAGAAACGATATTCCGAAATTCGAAAGTTCCACAAGAGCATCGGAGCTCGCGTCAAGCATCTGCGTTTCCCCGCAAAGCACTTCGTTCGAAACTACAAGATACATGTACTTCAGCAGAGACAACAAGAGCTGGCAGTTTACTTCTGCGAGCTCCTGGCGATTCGTCCATTTCTCATCCGGGAGCTGTACAATTTTCTAGGAGTGTACGTGAACATCAAGTCCTTCGAGCGGGATGGCCGCAAGAAGAGTATTTTATCTTCCAGTGGTCTTTCTCAGACTACCATTTCGGAAGAGTCTTACGAGGATCAAGAGAACTCTTCAGTCGTCGAAGTGGTCGAGTCCGCACCTGCGCCATTAGGGAACCTGATCGAGTTGTGTTTCCACATGGGCGGCGCTGTTTCAATGAGCGAAAACGTGCTGAAACGGTTGTTTATCACTCGGAATCGACTTGTTCAACTGCGTCATGCAGGTACAATCGCTCCCAACGATGCAAAGGGGGCATTCGGACACTTAACTGCGCGGTTCGACCAGTTTCTAACGCGGAATGCCAATCGTTGGGCCATCGTGGATGCTACCAGCCTTGTCCGCCACTTGTATGGATTCCATTGTGAGCTTGACATCTTGCAACGTCATGTCGGTCTTGTCAAGTGCAAGTGGGAAGTCGCGTGGGTTAATGCAGTACAAGTCATGGACGAGAAATTGGTCGCAACAGGTAGACCCAAGTGCGGATGCGTTTGCGCTAAGCTGCCCCATGAAACTACGTGTGGTCTAGCTACCGAATCAGCTGACAGAGACACCGCAGCAGTGTCCCCTCTTGTACGGGTCGTTGATCCCGATCTACCTCATAAGTGATCATGATCGACGATATAGGATACATGTTTCCATTCATTTCGATTGCATACAGGGCCAAGCTGTTTTTTTTTTAACTTTATCATAACAAAGTACGTTTTTTTAATTACAAATATTGATACCTTTTTTGGACAATGATTCATGTTCCGCTGTCGTTAAGCTGCTTCGCGGACGTGACTGTAAGAGTCTGTATCCCTGAATCACGTCGGCCACTTGACCGACCTGACCTAACGGACTTGCGAGTTAAGTCAAAGCTTGGCAACACTTTTCCGTCCAAAGTTCGGCGCATATTTCCTGGGGAAGTTTTGAACACTGTGTCTTTGTTCCATTTCTCTCTGCCACTGTTGGCTGAACTGGCATTCATGCGAGTTGCCGTGTTCCCAGTTGACTTGATCTTACTCCGCGCCGTGATAAACAGGCAAGCCGTCAGCGTTGATCGATGCCAGATGGCTTGCGCGAACTCCCAATTAAGTCCACTAGCGGTGGACAAGAGATCAAACGGCATTTCGTGCGTGGCGAAGAGCACGTAGCAGCCCACTTCGAACTTCCTCGTTCTCCAGATACTCCTCCACCCGCGTGATATCCCAATGTAATAGAAGCGAAAGACGAAAATGAATGCCAAATTTGCATTTTCCGCAACGTTGGAGATGGCCTGTCCTGTATTTTCTGACATGAAGTCGGAATCGAAGACTACGACACAGGAGAGCAGGATAGACACCAGATCTCCCAAGATCAACACTTCGGCTACATACGTGAGGTACATGACGGAGCGCATTTTGAACTTTTTGTTCAGGTCGTACCCAACAATTGTGATTTGTAAAAGGAAAGTCAGAACACAGCAAGCCTCTGAGATGTCGTTGACTGTCTCCACGAAGCCTTGTTCGGGTCTCGCGAAGGGGATCGTCACGACGGTGCCCAGAGTCCCGACAAACAAAAGTAACATGACGCGTCGCTCTCTGCGTCGTTTCCAGTAGAACATTGCGAGATAAACCAGTAGCGTGTAGTTGAGGAGCAACACTATCGGCAAGAAAGCTTCTTTCGCCAGTTGGTCGATCTGCTCTTGGGTCACGGACGTCCACATTGAGGCGCGTTTTTTTGGTCACGCACTCGCCCACCTCAGTCAACGTGCAGTGTTTGTTGTCGGCCTTGAGCTAATTCCGACAATGGCCATGCATAAGAAAGACAAACAGAGACCACGAAACTAAAAATATTCACCGAGCACAGCAATGGCTTTTATACTAAATAGCCCTGTGCTGTACCAACAGAAAAAATATCATCTTTTGGCAGAGCTAATTCTGCATTTCATATCCAGAGTATTTATGGATACAGAGATGCGATTCTGCCTAAAATTCTGTATCTCTTCGTGCCCGAGTGGTGCAACTTTGCATCATCCGTACTTTTGAGGATATACAGTACGCTTATTAAAAGTGGAAATTCAAATATACAAAACTAATTAATGTAGCTTTATATCCGAGTGACCATCAGAAATTTGACAAACGTCGACATTTTTTTACCTGCGCAACTTTTATATTTCCGTTATGCTAGTTTTGGGGGTTTGAAATTTAATCGTGTGCTTTGAATGATCGAAAGTAGGCGGAGGAAAGGTGATGGACTACCCTTCCTTTCAAAATCCATAATCTTTGTAGTTGCCTGAATCAGGCAACTAGTAATACCAGGCCCTGATGTTAGTCCGCAACTTTATTGAGACCGAATTTACCTTGTAGGTTTTCTGAGAGCAGAACACGAACTAAATCAAAAGAGTTATCTATAAACATCCCATTAACTCGATTTTATCCGATCATACGACATAAATGCTAGCACAGAGTATATTCCTCACGACTGACTGCGGATTTATTGTTTTGAAGCAAATGCAAGTAGGTTGTGCTATTAATACACAGCTTGTAGCACTTGAAGTAAATCCACTCGCATAACCTCGTTACGTGTCGATCGATCCGAATATTCCTTCAAGAACGTTTGTTAAGGTTCAATAAAAGGCAACAAAAGCACTCCTCAGCCGCCACTTGAAAGCTTTTCCGTATGGCCCTTCAAATCTGCAGGAGCAATAGTGGCAAAGTGTTCGTGAGCCATCGCTGCAACTATGTCACATCCCAACCCAAGTTCTCAACATAGATTTCTCGATACTCTCGTTCCAAAACCGCGCGGAGATGCATTTCGTTTTCAATTGGCGACCCTGCGAGAACAGGAGGAGCTGTAATACCCAACAGTCCGCATTGCCAAGCAAAATTTATTACTGGAGTCGGAAACGGGTAGGAGCTCGCGTATGTCGTGCGTCTCGCTCTGGCTTGCGGTTGTAGCGGGTCCTGGTGAAAATTACACTCGACAATTACTGTGCTTTGGCATGTTCGGTCAAAACCGCGTGCTCTCGAACCTTAGCCGCAAGGAACTCATCCCGACTCAGTTCTCCCGATAGCGCTCTCGCTCCGAAATGGCATGGTACAGTAATTCATTGTCAATCGGCTGGCCTGCGAAAATTGGAGCTGCTGTAATACCCGCTAGTGCCCGTAAGACGGTAGAGTTCGTTACAGGAATCAACGACGCGCCGGAGTTCGTATACACCGTGAGTCTTGCTTCGACTGTTGCTCTCGTTTGTAGTCGTCGATTGGCTTTATTTAAATTGGCGATAGGCTGATATCGTGCTCTGGCATGCTCAGTTAACATCGCGTGCTCTCGACACATGGCTGCAATTGTCTCTTGCTGAGTCACTGGAGAAAATTTCTCGTTTTTACGTAAGACGCTAGAGCTGCGCGGAACAGCAATTCATTGGAATGACATCCCTTGAAAGACTAAGGGTGCTGTATAATAATACCCGTTAGCCGTTGTCGAGTATCAGGGTCCGCAACAGCATCCATGGAGCGAAAAGAGCTTTGGTACATCTCAGTCATGGTGTGTGAGAATTTAAATTGATAAAAACTGTCGGAGCCACAAATTTTGTGTGTAGCTATTAATTTTCAGCTTTTGATACAAAATGCTGCAAAAAAAAATTTGGCTCGCGAGATCGTCGATTTTAAGTGTTGAAGAGATAACAAGGTCCTCGAAGAGCTGCATTTTACTTTTTCAAATTGCGTATTTCGTGAAGGCGAGACCAAGGATCCACACTTCGTTTTAAATTACTTAATATTTCGTGGTAATAATGAATCACATTTACGATTAAGGATTTGTCGGTTTGGGCAGTCGTTTCTCAAATATTTGATATCAATGCAGGTGTACTGAGTCTTTCACTGACCCGATTCGGACTTGCAGTAACCTCGACCACGACTGCATTCAAATGACGACATGTCTTCGCCACGCTGCTCGTGGTCACTGCATCCAGACATGAAAGATGCTGAAGAATCGCGTGTGCTCTGATCTGAGCTACATCGCGATGACAGCGCCATTGCCATGGAAATTTCGGGCAATTTCGAGTTGTTGCCCAGAATGAACGAGGCGAAGTCGAAGCAAACGTCGTGCACCAGCACGTTGCAGCCTTGGTTGCCTCGGTTCACCAGTGAAGCTTGAAGCGTCCTGAGTATTCTAATGAGAGACTCTCGACGTGCTTCTGCTGTTCTTGCCGCGTTGGGGGCGAGGAATTTGGGCTTGGGGAAATGGTTCTTGATGACAGAGTGTAGCCACTTGCACTCGGCGGGGCAGACGTGATTCGGCCGCAGTCTGCGCAATAACTGCTTGCGGAGACGACGATAGCCGTCGAATGGGTGACTGACAGTCCACTCGATCTCTGCGTCTTGGCAGCAAGGTGGGGTGTACGTGGCGTGCACCTCGTAGCGCACACTTCGGCCGCTTGGGACGGTCTGCATGGTGAGCTGAAGATGTTCGAACCACGCGGTAGCCTCAGGGAGCTCTATCGACGACGTGCGCTTTCGGTGATAGCTCGAGAAGTTGATGATCGGCATGCTACACGTTGAAGTGACGGCCATGGTTTCTTATTGAATTGATCAGGTCGGCCGCAAAAGCGATTATGCAGAGTCGGGTGGAGGTCGGACGTGCTGGGACATTCATCGATTTTGCCCACTATCTTGGTTTGACATCGAGCTGATTAAAAAATCATCCCCGAAAAAGAAGTGGGTGGTACAGTGTGCCATTTAACCTGCCTGCCAAGTTCCTTAGAGCTTTAAGACACGAGGTGTGATGGGTTTTAGGAGCATTCGATGGGTGCCTAATGATGAGGCCCTGGTTTAAAGAATTACACCTTTTGTAATAAAAATACTTCAGCACGAGCCCATCTTCCCGTTGAAGTGGCTGAGGTTTTCTCAGAAAGTGCTTTGGTCGGACGCTCGGGTCGGTTAGTCAGCAGATAGTGCAAGTTTCAACGGATGTGGCAATTTTTGGGCGAGCAACGGCCCATTTAAAATTTGAGGCAAAGAAGCAAGAAGAGCACGACGCATGAACGTCCTAAATAGTACAGACCATACGCGTGTGAAGAATGATCAAAGAGGAACTACATGTAGCGTTAAAAGTCAGCAATAATCTATTTCGTACGCAGAAGTTCAACGTATGGGCCCGTCCAGCGATCGCCTTTGAATTGCTCAGAAGTCCTTGGAAAGATATAGACAAGCTGATTTCCTGGTTAAGGGCGACGGAACTCCAAAATTTGTGCTGTCTGGTCTTAGGGAACTGTCACAAATACCAAAATGTCAGGAAATGTCTGCAGCAGCGAGTATTGTCACCCCCCCCCCACCACCACACAAACAGGTTGGCCTTTATCGTATTGTCGAAAAATATCGAAAACAACTGAATGAACGTATTGAGATTCGACCTTCTCCTTCTATGCGCTTCAGCAGTAGAATAGTCTGCTCAACCATTTTGCCGTTGGTTCAGCTCAAGGAAACTGCTCGTCACGAATCCGTTGAGCTCCCGACCGACCGACGAGATCTACCACAACCACAGCCACTTCAACCTCTGCGTTCTTTTTCTTGTTCTGACCAATTTGTGTCGTGAATCCATTTAGGTTTTGCTACCAGCACTCCTATATGAAATCGCTGCAAAACATTACTTTAACAGGAATCAAGGAAAGAAACATCATTCCAATCGTTTATCTGAGAGATACAGTAAAACATGGCGCCCTCGACGAAGATGAAGGTGAAGCTCGTGTCTATGGACGGCGAGGCGTTCGAGGTGGACACGTCTGTGGCCGTGATGAGCGAGCTGGTGAAGACGCTGGTGGCGGACGACCAGGAGGAGGGCGGAGAAGTGCAGGAGATCCCTCTTCCTAACGTTAAGAGCCACGTACTGGCAAAGGTTGTCGAGTTCTGCCGACACCACAAGGACGCGCCTATGGCCGAGATCCAGAAACCTCTCAAAAGTAATGTCCTCAGTGAGTCCATCGACGCATGGGACGCTAAGTTCGTGGACTTAGAGGACCAGGAGCTGCTGTTCGAGCTCATCCTGGCCGCCAATTACATGGACATCAAGAGTTTGTTGGACTTGTCGTGCGCCAAAGTTGCCTGCATGATTAAGGGTAAGACGCCCGAAGAGATCCGAGCCACCTTCGGTATCACTGAAGAGTTCACCGAGGAGGAACAACAGAGAATCCTCGAGGAGAACGTGGATCGAGGACGTGTAACGAGTCATATAGGCACAAATCAGGCGGGGAGGGTATTATGAACGGAAAATCAGCGTAAAAGCAAGCCTAGAAGGCAGCAATTTCAAGCTCTGCTCTGGTGCATTGTGCTCGGTCATTTTTACAACTTCGACTGAACTGACTTGACGGTATTTATCGTTGTCGTGCCGTAGCAGCCTTTGGGTTCTTCTGCGTTCTCTTGTGCTGCCTTGTTGTGTAGAGATGCAACGAAGCTTCGTAGACGCCCCTTTCGCTTTGTTGGCGATACTGGCCCAGTATTGCCAATAAAGCGAAAGGGGCGTCTCCCAGTATTACTGGGTGACTGTGTGCTCTCTTTCACTCTTTTTATTACCTCAACATTCAAATGAAATGCACTTGAAGTACCGGTACAGTACTTCATTCGGTCCCAAGATTTCTGGCGAGGAAATTTATTTTCTATTTGTCAGCGCTCAGATCTTAATTCTCTTGTTAAACTCAAGATGACTTGACTACACGCAGGCATTGGCCGAAGGGTCAATCGTAGGCTCCGACGTAGTAGGCGTCGTCGTGGGGGTCGAAGTAGCTGTTGATCCGGCGCTTGCAGCAGAGCTTGAAGAGCCTGGGGCCACGTATGGAAGGAGCGTGATGGGCTCGTCACCCGAGCAGACTGAGAACGTGGAGGTAGCCGTGGCATTGGCACAGTCGATCTGCGTCGTGGGGCCTTGGCTGCCGATATCGTCGGGTGTCTCGTAGCACGTGCGGATGACTGAGAGTTGGTTCTCGCCGTCAACAGCCGAGCAGAAGATCATCACCTTGTGATCATACAGAGCTTCAATCGCAGCCAACGTTGTCTGTGGGGTATCGAGAGCCGCCCAAGCGTTGATCTGCTCCGTCGCCGTACTGATACGATCCGCAGTGCTCAGTGTCGCTTTAAAGTACGTGACAGCTGCCGCCTCAAGATCCGCACCTTGAGCAGCGTAGCAGATTCCGTGCTTCTGGAACTCGTGGTCGTAAATATCACAAAGCGAGTCGTACGTCGACTCGGTGGATGCGTCGATCCACTTGTCGCCCATTTCGGCAAGAAGCGTCGCCTGGTTTTCGGAGAACTTGACGGCGTCGTAAGGGTCGTTCTCCACCGTGTCACTAGGATTGCAACAGCTGACGTAGCCATCGTTGTAGTTGGGCCACAGACCGTGGATCGTCAGCTTACTGACTGCACGCTCGGGGACACAAGCCGTGCCGTTCGGGTACGGGTTCACATTTCGATGCGAGATGGTGCCATCCACACCAACAAGCAGGTCGCGGCAGAATTGCGGGACAAAGAGCTGCTCCAGCACCAGGTAGTCGAAGTCACCAGGCACTTTCTCCTTGGCCAAACACGTGAAGTCTTTAGTCAGACACGTAGCGCTGGGAGCTGAGCAGATGTCCACACACTTGCCGGAAGACATGGAGCCGTCGGTCCAGCCACCGGCGTAGTCAATGGCCGGCGTCTTCGCGGAGAGTGCAGATGATAGAGCGAGTAGCAGAGCGACTGGGTGCATGGCTGAGTGGATACGGCACCAGAAGTGGTGAAGGATTTGCTGTGGACGAATCTGAGCAAATGAGAAAGTGAAGTCGAGGAGGGCGGTCCCGTCGTGCATGTAGGGGCCAACGGTTGTGACGTGCTTTAGAGAGCACGGAGGACGGACATAAGCCCTGCTTTGCAGGCTGCAGAGTCTCTCAGCTTTCACGCTCACGACATGAGCGGAGTTACTGGCCCAAGTGACCTGATCTCATTGAAGATGTAACGGAGACATTGACATGCAAGTATCCAGTTCAAATCCTGTATAAATGAATGGATTTCCAAACCACAGCTACATTTTGGTGCATCTCTTGACTAAAAACGACTTTATAATTTTATTTTAGAGCCAGAATCTGTCGCACTTCATTTGTTGCGCTTCAATCGAGGACAGCAATACCTCCACAACGCTACACTGGCGGCAAGTTGGATGCAACTACATGTACATTAATAGGAAGTCAGGATTATTACATAACCTTAATTTAAAGGAATAAACAACAAAACTCTTCATTCTTCTACGTGTAATGAGTGCAGATTCTCTGCGTTGAAGCTTTCGACACGAAAGTACCGTATTGCTAAAGCGTGCAGATGTTGGCGAGTTAATATATTATGCGTCAATGACGGTCAGTTAAGCTGCCAAGTTCCGGAAGATAGATAATCTCAGCTTGTGTTTGCACGCATACCTTAAGTCGACGGACAAATTATGCCACACTACTGGCGCTATCACCAAATTCGGACATCTCCGACGAGGTTGGAGAGGTGGAGTTGTCTGCAAACTATGTTCGATCCTTTAACACTTTCCATTGCCAATTTCACTGAAAAATGTCATTTAACAAATATGAGGGAGTTTTGCATCAACAAACGAATACGGGATTTCTAACGGCATGGCAAAATTGTCAGGAATATATACCACGTTATCTCCCATACTATTTGCAAAGGCAAGACACGGTTGCCAAATGCCTCTTGGTGATTTTTTTTGTTTCAAGAAACTGCGACCCAAACCTTCAGCATCGCGACCACATTTGATGCTGTTAAGCTTATCGAAAGGTATATGATTCATGTAACATGAATATGCAGCAGTAAACTAGCCACATCCTGAGCACAGGACAACACCAACTTTCTGCATTGCTTGCAACAATTCTTGCGGTCCAGTTGTCAAAATTACCTTTACGACTTCTAACTGATTACTTTCAACCAACTCTTTTTTAAAAAAAATTTGTCGTTTGATGGGTTCTGCACTCGAACCTGCACTTGACGACTCGATTCCACTTCTCCATAGCCAAGCGAGCAAGCTTTAATAAGTCGTTCTATGGAGCAACTTCGCAATCTCGATATAGCCACGGCGAGCTGCTTCTCAAAGTGCTTCGTCTCCACTTCGTAGACAACCCTTCAACAAAGAATGTACTACAAGTACTCCAGCTTGACTGTGAGTTGCTATCGACATCGTCTTACCTCATTAAAGGAAGAAGCTCAGCATTATCATCGTTTACAGCAGCATTTCCGAAGGAAGGAAATGCTTCCTGTCCTTCATACCACTAGAACACTTAGAGCCTACGTTTGATTCTTCTCTTTTATCACTGAATTAGTACATGTACTGATACAGCCACTTCAGAACTCAGAAGGTAGATGCGCGTGGCTAAAAAAGGCTGCAGATGAGCAGCGTTCGTTGCGCAGTTTATTGATAATACTGATTCTGTCTCACGATCGCCTTTAATTTAGGTGCAGGTGCCGTCTTGGTGCTTTTCTGTCGTTACAAAGGCATCGTGCTACATAAGCATCAAATTTCAATTGAACCTAGCCCGCTTGCTTTACACACATATATATACAGCAGTCGTACCACATCTGCGTCTCCAGCCGATAGAGCAAAGCAGATACTGTCGGGGGAATCGGTTGCGAAGTCGTCAACCTGGCCTCTGATTACTGCCGTTTCGAATGCACACGCTTTGACCACCTTCGTATGGCCTTCTGTAGCGGCAGATATCATCGCAGCGGATGTTGTGCACGTTCATTTTGTCAAGTAGCAGCTGCACAAGGCCAACAATACTACGGCGAGCAGCGTTATCAAATATCCGACCGTACCCACTAGGATCGCATTGCCTAAGTAACATGGACACCATTGGAGTTGTCCCAACATACCCAGCCTGGACCAATGCCTGCTCAATGGTATCGGAACTAGAGTCTTCTAGTACAATGTCCAGCATTTCCACTCGATTCAGAGCTACTGCTCTCGCTAAAGCATCTCGAGCCGAGCCAGAATTGCTCTTTTCGAAGAGAACGCGGAGCATTTCAACGTCGTCCTTCTCCACAGCTCGTGCTAAGGCATCGCCCGTGATCACCGTTTCGCATTTCGCAATAAACAGTGTAGCCATCTCAATGTTGCGATTCCGTGCTGCTGTCTCGATTGCAGTGGTGATGCTGTTGCTGAAGGACAAATCTTGGCGCGTCTGGCAGACGTCAAGAAGAAACGCCAGGACTTCTCTTTTAACTTGCCGAGCTGCAAGAGCCACCGCATCATTGCCAAGTGGGAAGGAATAAATGTCTACCCCTTGCTTTACGATCTCAGTACGTTAGTTTCCCACCTCACTAAAGACCCGATCGATGATCATACATGTATAGTCGTCGCTTCTGTCGATTAAACAGTTCCACCACGGATATGCTGGGTTCACATATCCGTGTTTTCCACTACATGTATACCCTCTATCCAACAAATACTGTACCACCTGTGTCGGATTACTTCCTCATACTAAACGGCCGGCGCATTAGCGTCTCTAGAATTCCTACATGCCCATTGGCCGCTGCAGCCTCGAGAGGGATGTCGAAAAATAAATTGGTGCCAATCTATTGGAGGCTTTCAGGAGAGGAAGACCAATTATTTATTTTCGCTCCCGCTGTAGCACCAATAATCTATTGGGTGGTGTTCAATTAGCCATACATTCTGTAGTACTTGTGCCCTCGCTGTGTACCAATATTGCTGCACCAATAATCTATTTTCTGAGTTGGGGAAGTTCATTAATCTATTTTGGTCTTGTCGGCTCTCTAACCCATTATTTATTTTCTGTTTTGATTAGCAATAGATAAAAATGCAATATTCGGCATCCCTCCAGCAGCCCCGCGCTTAGGTCAAGGAAGCGTGCGATGTCCTTGTGACCGCATTCGGCAGTTTTCACGAGTTCCTCGGCTGGATTTGCGTAGCGTTCGTAGAGCCACGTGAGTACGTCGAGATAGCGGTTGATTGCTGCGTTGATAAAAGCGGCGCTAGAACAGCCCTCTATTCTTTCAGTATGTATACGCTGGAGGAGGCCCAAATTCCCGAGCGCTGCGGCGCCGTCCATGTGTGTGGACGAGGGTGCTGATAGACTCGGACCACGCAGCGCAGCTCAGTGTAGACTGCGCTGGCTGTCGATGGTGCGAGGCAGAAGGAAGGAGGAGACGGCCTACGCAACATGTGGGAGCGCCTGGAACGGCGTGAAAGGCGGCAAGGAGACCGCGAGCAGCGGAGGTGGAGAAGTCATCGACTCTTGGACTGTACAGATAATGTTAGCACCAAGAATTCAGAAGCTATTTGAGGATTTTCTCATGTTGCAATGTTTAGCTCAGCTAAAAAATATAATTAAGTACATATATTATTAATGATTTAGCTCAATGTCAGCTTCAAGTGCAACATACACCGCTATGGCTGTTAGCTTTGGCTTCTTCTAGCGCCGACTCCAGTTCTTCCTCACTTAGCTGTCTCCACATAAATTCTACGATCCGTATGTGGCCATTCGCAGCGGCGGCTTTGACCATTTCTGCCGGCTGGGCCAAGCGAGCGTAGAATTCATTGAGCCACCACAATACCTCTAGGTGGGCGTTAGCAGCCGCACCGACGAATGCAGCGGACGAACAACCCTCACTTCGAGTGTTTTGCAGTCTTTGGAGTATATCGAGACGTCCTCTGGCTGCGGCGCCGTCCATTGCTCCCACCGTGTACGGTAGAACAGCTTCATAGTCTTTGATCATGCGATGGAGATCGTTGTAGATAGCACCGTCAATTGTTGTCGGGAGGAGGAGATCGCTGACGAATTGAAGGACATGCGGGAAGGGTTGGAACTTTGGAGAAAGCGCCAGCTTGACGCATAGTAGGAGAGGATACTGGTACTCCATTTTGGTCTCCAGTGGAATCAAAGTGCGAACAAGATCTGGAAGAACGCAAAGTGAGTTCACTTTATCTGCCGTTAACTTACTTCAACGTAAGCATGCAATCCGTGATTACGGGCGTGTAGATTTTAGTGATGCTCATCACGGATTAGTCGTAGATTATTGACGTGGCCGACATTCTACGCCACTTAGCTACAGTACATGTACCTTTCGCAATGTGCTTCGAACAGAAAACAGCACTATGTTGCTGTAGGCGACCAATGGGCGTAGATTAACTAACGTTTAAAGAAGTTCTCTGCCCTCCCGGAGCGGTTGAGTGTCAGGCTGAAAAAATAATATCAATAATTAAAAACAATATACTTTTGACTGAAAAACTTATTATTGTACCATCCTCCTTCCAGTACATAGCAAATTTGCAAAATACTTACTGTATGCATTACTTTAAACATTGCAATACAAGACTGATCAATAATATGGTATTTTGACCAATTATTGCAATAATTAAATAAGCCCGAATTTGGTTTTTAGAAGCATTTTATATGGAACGACTGCCTAAAAACGAAAATTAAATAGCATATTTTATTCTCCAATCCCATGGGTGGAAGTTTGTACCGTCGTAAGGGTGGATGATCACGGTGTTCACCGGAATTTATGAGGACTTTCATAAAATGAACATCAGGTTAAAATGTTGAATGCTCCACTACCGCATGTCGGCGAAAACTCAATAGAGAAGGCTTTGAAAGAAGCGGCTTCTTGTAGAGAAACATTTATCGCTCAACTATTGAGTTTTTGCCGACATGCGGTAGTAGAGCATACGACATTTCAACCTGATGTAACTCGCTGCAGTGCCTAAACCCCTCACAACTCTATGATCTTTCCTCACCGGATCGAATGCCGTCTGAACAACAGAAAGCAAAAATCAAACTGAATTCACAAACCTTTAGCTACTGCTGGGCCTCACACAACGCCTGGGGCCCGTTCCCGCTACGAGGGACTTCTCTACTTCAAGTGACGACAGCGTCGCCGCCTATACACGGCAGGCGTCCGACCGGGACTCCGGAAGTGTCCAGAACAACCAGCACCTGAGTATACAGTGTACATGCACTGGCACTGTATACAGCCAGATCACTTCCCCCCTCGCGTCGTGTGTGGGTGCATCAGCGCGTCTGGTGATCATGGTCTGCCGGGACGCCTTCCACGCGGAAGACGTCGGGGAACGACTGGTGCCGGTGGCGCGACCAGGCTAAGCGCCGTCGCCATGCTGGCGCGAGCCCGATCTTGAGGCACAGCATCAACAAACTTTTGGAACAGCACAGGCTTATCGTGCTTGATGGTCTCGGCAGGTTCCCATGAGGCCTCGATTTCATCGAGACCGATCCATTTGACTTGGACCTCCCATCTGTGGGTCGCCGGGCTGAGGCGGCAGGCAAGTAACGCGTCCACCAAGTGCCCACCTTCGCCATGGATCGCTTGTTCTATCATATCTTCGACTGCGCCACGCTGAGAGTCTCGATACAGCTGTAGGCGCGAGGCGTGACGTAGCGTAACAGTAAACGGTGCAACCAAATCCTGCACCTCAAAGGTGTAGTCGTTGATGGCGTGGACGATGCGTTTCGGTCCACGCCAGATCCGCGAAAGTTTGTTGCCGCTGGTTCCAGTCGTCGTTGCTGCCAACACGTAGTCACCGACGCTTAAACGTTGGAGTTTCACTCCTTTCGTCTTAGCATGACGCTCCCGCGCCGCACGCCGCCGCTTCTCGCTGGCGCTCGTCAGCTCGTGGTGCATTCCGTCGAGTGAAGCTCGGACACCTTCGATGAGCTTCTTGAGCTCAGCGTCGACCCATTCTAGGCTCGCTTCAATAGCTTCACGAGGGTGGAGGATACCGCGGAGCTGGGAACCCCCAGGTAGCGCTGTGAACGCCGTGAGCGGGCAGACACCGCCTAGACGGTCCGCCGGCATCCCATTTAAGGCCGCCTGCACCACCGGAAGCAGACTTGGCCAATCGTCCACCAGGAGCTTCCTTTCACTGGCTAACGCCTTCACGCAGCGGAGGACCTCTCGGTTTACCACCTCCACGGTGCCATTGACCCAGGGGGTGTACGCCGTCGTGAAGTGATGCTGAGCGCCCAGAGCACGCTGGAGCCGCTCCACCACTTGGTTCTTGAAATGGGGTTTCTGATCGAAAACCCACTGCGAGACAGCGCCGAACCGCTTGAACCAATCCATTAAGCTTTCGTAGACTTGGTCACTCGTGGCTGCGACGCATGCCACGAGTTCCACGAACCCGGACACGCCGTCCTTCAGTACTAATACATACTTGACTCCGCCGACCGCCTCAACCATGGATAGAAAATCGAAATGGAGCAACTCGTTCGGCTTTGTTGCTCGTAGGGTCTCACCATACGGACGAGGGATCTTCCCAGTGACTGTGGTCATGCAATGCAAACAACCATTAACAAATGACGCCACATCATGAGCTCTCGTCGTCCAAACGAAGAGATCCGACAACGACTTAGCTGTGGTGGCGCCACGATGCCCGCTTGCGCCTGCGTGTGCCACTACACACAGACGCTGTTGCAGCTCAACAGCATTATCAGGGATCCACAGACGACCGTCTGGGTCGACGACAACTTGGCGTTCCTCGTTGAACGTCAGATTCGCTGGCAACCCGCCCGCGCACGCTGCATCTTGAACGCGTTTAATCTCGGCCTCGGTCGGTCACACGAGCTCAGGTGCTACCAACAGCGAGACGCGGTCAACGACCGCTAGTCGCGACACTCGCATTGCGCCTCGGGCGTCCCTGGATGAAGGTCCCGCGCCCCATCGACTGAGAAGGTCGCACCAGGCATTCACCTCGCCCGGGACATGCTCGATTACGTACTTGAATGACATTAGGGACAGAGCCCATCGCTGGAGTTTGTCCGCTTGATACCGCGCCATTGCTCCATCCGTACCCAAAGGGTTGAAGATATACACCAAATTACGATGGTCGGTATAGAGATGAAATCCTCTTGGTCTCATCAGCAAATACTCTAGGCGCCGGGTTGCCTCAACAATCGCGAACGCTTCCTTCTCAATTGTCGGCCAGCGACTAGCTGCGCCTACGAATCGGCCGCTCAGGAACGCGAGCGGACGGTGATTCTGTTCTGCAAGCGGTAGCTGGAGCTCCTCCGGCTCCAGCTGGGTAGCCACCGCCCCCCAGTAATCGTGACTCGCGTCCGTGTAGAGACACACCTCGGCCTTCGCGCGCGGGTGAGCCAACGGCACCATCTTGAGCAGCGCCTGCCGGACCGTTGTGAGGGCAGCTACATCTTCGTCACACCACCCGACGTCGGCCAACAGGAGCTTCGACAACTTCGCCTTCTTGCGGGAACCAGCCGCAGCCATAGCGCGCTCCAGGACCGCTGACAGCCGCGCCGTCAGGCGGTTATATTCGGGAATGCCCTGACGCATCCAATTCACCGCACGTATGAACTGCTGCAGGTCGCCAGCCGTCGTTGGTGCTTGCATGTCGACCAGTCCCTGTACCCGTTCTGGGCAGTGGCGCACGCCATCTGCCGAAAAACGCACCACTTGGCTTCCTTCGTGAAGAACCGGCACTTCTTCGCATGCAGCTTCAATCCGAAGTGTTCACACCGCCCTAATACCTTATCCAACAGCACGAGCAAGTCGTCCTCGGTCTTGGCGTAGCCTAAGATGTCATCGAGCTAGGCGAGTCTTCCCTTACCGAGGAGATCGCCGAATATCTCTTCGACGACCCACTGGCAATACGCCACTACATCTGTTGCCCCCATGGGCACGCGTCTGGGTGTATACACGCCGCGGTGCGTTACAAAGGAGTACAGTTCCTGTGAGACCTCGTGCAGCGGGAGCTGCCAGTATCCACGAAACCAGTCGAGCAAGAAGAAAAAACCGTATCCTTCCAGCTCACCCACAACCACCTCCAGGACCGGCATTGGCCAGGGCATTGGCTCCGTTTGGTCGTTCACCGCCCGAGTATCAACGGTCATTCTTGGATCAGCATTTGGGTCGACGGCCTGCTCCTTTTTACGCACGATTTTCGGCGCCGAGCACCACACGGATCGATGGTGCATGTAGATAACGCCAGCTTCCTCCAGCGTGGACGTGTGACGGTCCAGGAACAGCCGATCATTCGGCGAATATCGACGAGGTTGGCACTTAACCGGCTTAGCATTGGGCTTCAAGCGTACTTGCAACGGCGCGACCTTCACGGGAGGATCGTAGCCGAACGCCAGTCGAAAGTTGTCTGCGCGCACGGCCAAGATTGCCCTAAGCTTTATCTGTCCCGGTGCTGATAAGCCAGCCGTGGCCGCAAGGCGCTGCGACTCTTCGAGTTGGTCAATGACGGCCTGTAACGCCGACAGCTTCATATCCGGCAACGCCGTTCGCGACTCGTACCGGTCGACATCATCGTCAGCCTGCGTCTCAACCACGGGATCCCGCGCGGCCAACTGCACTCGGCTCAAACGCTGCAGCGCCGATGGCTCCACGTCAGCTCTCGTCTCCATTTTTGAGACAACCCCTCGAGTTCCCACTCAGGCTGCACGTTCCTCGCGTTAGCCAATAGAGTATCCGTCGAGTAGCCGAGCGTCTGCATAACCGGCCGACTGACCGTCAACTCGAGCTCTTGGTTCCCTTCTTCAATCCAACATAGTAAATTCCTAAGCATGTGCGGCCTGGCCGTGGTGCTGAGCAACACCTCAGCAAACTTGACAGCTCGTGACGCGGTAACACGACGGCCACCGACGAGCAATAGGTCGCGGGCTTGGATGGATTCAATCTGGGGCGAGGCTCCTCGAAGAACAAGCGCGTTGATTACTCCACTGGTTACCAGCGACACGTCCGCCCCGCTGTCGAGAAGAACTGCTGCGATTCTCAGGCCATCGACCTGAGCCTCGACAGTGCCTGCGTCTTCACTCTCACTACGCTTTGTCCGGACAGGCGTTTCCTTGATGCGATGCATCTTGGCGCCTTCAGTCGAAGAG